GTTTTGTCTTTCGGGTGAACCAGTTTTTGTCTGAGTGTGTTGCTGGGTCTGAAATGCACCGGGATGTCATGCTTGGAGAAAACTCTCCTGAGTTTTTCTGATACACCGGCTACATAGGGGATGACAATATTGTTGCATCTGTCCTACTTATCCTCCCTCGCTGGTGTCTTAAAGAAGTCCAGACACTTTTCTTTGCAAGCTCCTTTAAATACGGGATAAATAAAGTATAAACTAAAAGATATTTATTAACTCAATCTAATAACTTGTTTTATCTAAACTGTTCCAGCTGGTCCCTGCTTGGCTACTTTTCTTTGATTGGGTGATATCTGAAAAGTTCATTTTTGCTTGTATATTCTGTTCTTAGAAGGAAAGACAGAAAAGAAAAATATTGGTAAAACTGGAAATTGGAATCGTCCAAGACAATCTAAACTGATGCATCTTTACAGTAATGATACTATAAAGGCCAAGCGAATCTACTTTAAAATAGTATATTGTAGTGTAGGATAGTATTCAGAATATGAATTTGAAGATGGAAATAAGCATGAGATTTCACTTTAAGAATCTAGTGATATTTCATAAAGAGCTCAGAGGAAAAATATATGAAACTAAAGCAAATCAACAGAAAAAAATGAGTTTCTGAGCACATCTCAAACTGATGTCTGCTAGCCAGCTTACAGAAATCACCTCTGCAGTCAGATTTTGACCTGGTTTGCTGGAGCTGAAAATGCTTCCTGTCTGAGCACACCTTTACGAGTCATTTTCGATCAAGACACATAGACACATTGTAGCTACCTGGGAGTGGTTACAGAGCTTATTTTTATGGTTCTGATGATGTAACAGAGTAAAGTATGGGATTAATATAAAAGCAGTAGACTGAGTTACATCCATTAAAATGTACAGTAAAGTGGCATGCATTTAGTCGATCAAATAAGATAAGATAAGATAAGATAAAACTTTATTAATCCCTCGGGTGGGTTCCTCTGGGAAATTTGGTCCAATTAATTGGGCAAAATAGGCCCAATTAATACCGAAAATGACAATACAAGTGCTTCTTTCAAAAACCCTGAATACAGAGCTATCATACACCAAATCTGCCTAGCAATTTTACTATTACCATTGATCCGTATTCAAATTGTCCTTCAAAAACACACATATCAGTCAAACTGGGATAAATATGTCAGCACATTAATACAAACAGCACGGCGACAATGATACATGACAATAAACAAAGCATGAAAATTTCACTCGCCACGTACCCATTAAAAATGAGTGAGCAGACAACAGAGCGCAGCATGTTACTGCGTGGCATAAAAGCATTGAAATACACAGATGACAAGAAGGGAACAGAGCTGTCAGGCCTCTCAACG